TACCTTAAAATTTTAACCTAAGATAGAGTAATGTGTTAAGAGGTTCCTTACGAGATTTCAACCAAATTTAACAATCGAATGAAAAGTTATACTTGATAGCATAAAATTAGTCAATAGGTGATTTTACATCAAAATTTATATTTTATTATTTAATCATTGCTAGAACTATATCAGTTATTTTACTAAGTTTTTGGAACCTTTTTTTATTTCAAAATATATTTATTTCTCATTTTCATCATTTGTTTTATTTATAAACTTACTATAGTTTCATGGTAATATTATCAATTATTAATTGGGTTCACACCAATATTTTTTTGCACAATTCTTTCTTAACTTTTATTTCTTATTTTTGTTATAATTCTTTGGAATTATTTTCTAATTTTCAGAACACATCTAATTTAATTTTTTTCTAATTCTTTTATTTGTCGAAAGCCATTACTAATTTCAACAAAATATATACTTCATTTGATTTTTTTAGACAATGTGAACTAGTGCCCCCATAGGCTGGATATGTCCATGTTTATGATTGTCTATGTTTATAGAATATGATTGCTAACTTTTTTTAAAAAAAAATTATTGATTACTCAGTTTGTTTATTTGAAAGAAGTTAGATAAAAGCAAAACCAAATATAAAATAATTCAAACACTTGATATTTTATTTATAAAGTGTTTGAGAATGTAATAACAGTTTTCTTTTTAAAATAATTTTTACTAAAAAATATATTAAAATAATACTTTTTTATTATTAAAAAAATTATTTTTAATATCAATATATAAAAATAATTTTAAAATGAAAAATAATTTTAAATAAAAAATAATCAAATTGTTTAGAAACGCCATTTGGAACACAATTCCAAATGGCCTTTAATTGCAATCAATGCTAATTAATAAAATAAAAGGTTATGAAAGATTCTATTGTCTAGTATACAAAGGACAAAGCAAATTTGGTTACCCCAATCAAAATAATCCCAAACAACTTCATAAAATATAAATTTAGCGTTTTAGATTGTGATAATAATTATTTTTTAAATATTTTTCACTTGAAAATATATCAAAATAATATTTTTTTTTTATTTTTTAAAAGTTATTTTTTATATTAGTACATTAAAATAATCCAAAATCATAAAAAAAATAATTTGATGAGAGAAAAACTCAAAAAATTTTAAATGCACTTTTTGAACATAAAAATAAACACATTCAAAACAAAGAAATCCAACACCCTTTTATAAGCTCCATAGGAAAGATCTTATCAATTTTGTATAAATGTAACCAAGATGATCTTCTTTATTATTAATAAATATATCAACATAAAATTATTGATACAATAATTCAATTCTAACGAGAGTACTTTTTCCTTACTCCTTTCTATTAACAAGATAAGCATAAAAAGCTTTCATCAAAATTCTTTATTGCTTTTATAGGTGGTTATTATTCTTGGTTAGCTAATGCAATGTCGATGCAAAAGTCATCCTGACTATAAAGAAAAGGTAGTGGATAATGCAAAACCATAAACTTTGTATAAAGTTTATGGACTTTTTAAAGAGTCCTCAAGTATATGTCAATGATGATGTCTTCGTAAAATTAAAAATCACTAATATCTCTAATGACCAAAACATCAATTTCTTTAAAAAATGGATCATTATATTGTCTTAAGGTATCATTTCTCTTACCAACCAAGCAAAATCTGAAGTTGAAACTGTTAGATTTGTTAAGTCTTTGTTTAACGTGTTAAAACAACTTAACCATTTTATTATTAGAATCAAACATGGTTATAAACCCACAAACAAAAACTTCAATTAAGGTTGACAAAAAGTTTTTCTAGATTAATGGCTTGAGCTCAAGCCAGTTATAAATTTCATTCTCAATGTTAAAAACATATTGTTGAACAAACTTTGTGCTTCATTATTAATAGGCAAAACGAACTCATAACATAGTGGTAATAACCATTAATCTTAAAGGCATTTGTTTCAGGCTGAGCATTAATAAAATGATCAATTTTATCCCGCATTGATAAATTTAAATAAATTATAAAGTTTAATTATCAATAAACTTAATTCTGAATGATAAATAAGAAAGAAAAATATTCAATTTTTTTAAAAAAAGACAAGCTCAAGTCAACCTTGGTAAACCTGATAAACCCGTGTTCTAGATCATAAGAGCGGGATAACCTTATAAAAAAAATTAAAAAACAATTATGAAGCTCAATTCCCAAATTAACACAGTGTTAGAAAGGCAATTTTTTAAAAAGAAAATCCATAGAAAAAAATGATAAAAATTACAACTTAGACAAGAGATTAAGATAACTTCATAAAAAGTAAAGAGACAAAAAATTATACAACTCAATTCTTAACTAACCACATGTTTAAGGATGAAATTTTAAAAAAAATTTAAAAAAACACTCAAAAAAATAACTCAAGTCAACTCGAGGTCATCCTTTGAAATTTGTAATCCTAGTCATGAGACCATAATTGCCAAATAAAAAGCAAATTGAAAATTTTTTTATAAAGATTAGCACTTAACTAGTTCAATATTGAAGAATAAAATTAAAAAAATTATTTAAAAAATAATAATTAAAAAAAATAAAAACCAAAATTCACATAAAAAAATTAACAAAGAATGACATAAAACCTGAGATGGATAGAGATAAAAGAGAGGAAGATCAAGGAAAAAAGAGGGGTCATTAGCAACACATTACCACTTGTAATCCACCACGCGTCAACTCACCTTGCAGCCTTTGTCGAGATGATTCTAGGAACATAACAGAAAACAACCTTTTAAGGTCAAAAGAGGCTGCATATACCTCCATATTCAATTTTTATTTTATGAAAATTAGCATCAACCATCCACTAGGATTTTTCCTTGAATCCCTATATCTAGACAATAAAAATAAATAATTAAGAGAGTGTTTGTTTTTATGGTTGGATGCCTTTTAAATTATTTTTTGTTTGTAAAAAATATTAATTTAATATTTTATTATTATTTTGATGTGCTAATATCAAAAATTAAAAAAACATAATTTTAATATATTTTTAATTAAAAATCATCTTGCATCACATTACCGAACTTATAATAAATTCACATTGCCATCTGATTCTAAGACCATTTCAGTCCTGCCTTTTGATTCCAAAAATTGGATGGTGGGACTTGGATACACACACATATTCACTTTATAATAAACTTAATATAGATGAATCAAATAGAAAAAAAATTCAAGTGATAAAAAAAAATTTGAATATTTTTCTTTGTTTGTTCAATTCAATCCCTAATGCTAATAAAAAAAAGGGTTGTGTATGTGTTCAATCTTTAAATCGATTTCCAAAGTTTTAATTGTTCTAAATTAATAAAATCTCATATAATTTAATCAAAACAAACATCAACTAAGTGATGAGAATTTTTTTAACATCACAAGATCCCCTAATTTAAATAATCAAAACAAATTATAAAGTTTAATATTACATAAGGCATCTACAAGTGAACAAATAAAAGAAAGTATTAGAACAAAAAAAAATTAAAAGAACAAAAAAAAATTAAAGGACAAAAAAAGATTATGAACACTATTACAAGTTATGTTGTTTTCTTTGTTAGTCTACAATTTTTTTGACATGCCCTTTAGTTTTTTTTAAAATAATTTATTTTTAATATATATAAGAATGAGACCTATTATGAGACATAGAATACATTACAGACGTATTATCATTATGCTTCAATCGGGTTATTCTATTCCACCTCTTAGAAAGAAAAGAATTTAAATCAAAATACTTAATAGCATGACTATATATTTATACAAAACTTCTACTCCAAGCACACACAATGGAGCCATAGACAATTAAGTGAAATCCAATACACAAAACAATTTGATCTATGGACAACATCGTTATGGTAAAGGCCATAATGCTAGAGAAATTATTACCGCAAGACATAAAGGGGGAGGTCATAAACGTCAATACCATAAAATTGATTTTCGACAGAATGAAAAATATATACATGGTAGAATTGTAACCATAGAATACGACCCCGTATACGAGATATTCATCCTAGTCACTATGAGCGCATTTGCCCAATTGACACGTTTGAGAGAATCAATGTCGGACTTATCAAATCCCTAACAATTCATGTTAAAATTGACCATTTGGGGTTTTTAGAAAGTCTATTTTATGCTTTATTTATCACCAAATAGGGATGAATACTATATAATAGGAGCAGGAAATTGTTTGGCATTGAATCCATGATAGGTTTCATTCTTATATATATTAAAAAAATTATTTTTTTTTAAAAAAACTAAAGGGTATGCCAAAAAAATTGTAAACCAAAAAAAACAAAACAACATAAATTGTAATAGTGTTCATATTTTTTTTTTTATCTTTTAATTTTTTTTCTATACTTTTTTTTATTTGTTCACTTGAAGATGCCTGAATATTAAATTTTATGGTTTGTTTTGAATATTTAAGAAAAACAACATAAATTGTAATAGTGTTCATAAAATTCTCTTTTTTTATCTTTTAATTTTTTTTCTATACTTTTTTTTATTTGTTCACTTAAAGATGCCTGAATATTAAATTTTATGGTTTATTTTGAATATTTAAATTAGGGGATCTTTAGATGTTAACAAAATTCTCATCACTTGATTAATGTTTATTTTGATTAAATTATATGAGATGTTAGGGGATCTTGTGATGTTAAAAAAATTCTTATTACTTGATTAATTCACTTGATTAATGTTTATTTTGATTAAATTATATGAGATTTTATTGATTTAGAACAATTAAAACTTTGGGAATTGATTTGAAGATTGAACACAAACACAACCCTTTTTTTACTATTAGGGATTGAAGTGATTTGAAGATTGAACACAAACACAACCCGATTGAATTCAACAGACAAAGAAAAATATTCAACTTTTTTTTTATCACTTGAGTTTTTTTTCTATTTGATCCATCTATATTGAGTTATTATAAAGAGAATATATATATACACACACACGTATCCAAGTCCCACCGTCCAATTTTTGGAATCAAAAGGTAGGACTGAAATAGTCTTGGAATCAGACGGCAATGGAGCTTTCCATATCCCATCTCATGCTTGACCCCTCACTATCAAATTATTAATAATTTGCATTCAGACAAAGAAAATCAATCACCAGAATAATTTTCCTTCCTAGTTTGCATCAACCAAATCAACCAGTGTACTGAAGTACAGACAGACCACCTCGGCCGTCGTCAACAACAACAAAACTTCTGTAAGACACTACTCAACTGAGCTAAAAGCAGTCTCTTATTACCGTACTCATTTATAATTCTGTGTCCCTGCGTTTCTGGTGACTTGGTTTCTTACATGAAGGTTTTCAAAAGTTAATATTTTTGTTTTTCTTGGGTTCTTAGAAGTTCGAAAATCAAGAAAATTTCAATTACAAGAAAGAAACGTTTAACATCACCTAAGAAAGACTTCATATTTGAGATATTTTCAGTAGCTTTTGAATTGGATCATCTCTGTCAAATGGGGCTTCGTTTGGTCAATTGTTTTTCAGACTTTAAAAATTGATCAGTTTGGATTTGTTATAGACATATTGAAATCTATTATTTATTTTATTTATATTCTGGAAGTTGCTTTTGTGACTAAAAAAATGCGTGTGATTAGTAAGAAAATTTAAATTTGATTGTAAGTTTGATCTTCATAATCTTGAGTTGGACACCTAGTAATGTGAATGTTATCTCTTGAAGATGAACTGAAAAAAGGCAAGGATGTAAGAAATGATAACCCACTTGTAATAAGTATTTCTCAGGGAATGGGAGTTCACTTTCTATATAGAGGAGAAATTCTTTAGACAACTTACTGCTATATGACTCGATAAGCTAATTATCATTGTTAATGATGCTTTACGATGTCAATATGTTGCTAAAAATGTGCACCAAATTATTTGGTAAACTGAATGATTGAAAATGTGAACTCCGTTGGAAGGGGTAACTCATTGCTTTTTTGAAAATTCTAGATGGAAGCTTTGTTAAAGTGCTTTTGTTTTTTCATGAAGATTTCATCTTACTCTATGATGGTAATTGTGCAATCTGATCTTCTTCCTTCAGGATCATCAACTTTGAAATGTCATACTTGCTGCATTAGAGTAAAGTCTCTATATTGTGCTCCTCCAGACAAGTGGATTTTGCTTTTGTGTTTCACTTATTCCGCTTCTTTGTGCAGGTTTTATTTACGAAAAAGTAGGAGCTCAATGAATCCTGGACAGCTTACTCTTCTGGCATCCACTTTCTGTGTGATGCTTACAATGCATTTTTCAGGACAGCTTCTCGCTGAGCATCTACTCAGCTGGAAGAAGCCAAAGGAGCAAAGGGCTATTATTATCATCATACTTATGGCCCCCATATATGCCATTGACTCCTTTGTTGGTTTGGTAGATTTTCAGGGGAGCAAAGCATTTTTTATGCTTTTGGAATCAGTCAAGGAATGTTACGAGGCTCTGGTAAAACTACATTCACAAGAATTGTAAATTTGATATGTTGGAAATGAAGTTTTCAAATTTTCATGTGGAAAAATGGGAATTGAAGTTTAGAAACACACCCACAAGTGATTTCAAAGTCAAGTTGACTGTGTTACTTGCAGGTGATAGCAAAGTTCTTGGCTTTGTTATACAGGTACTTAAACATATCAATAAGCAAAAACATAGTTCCAGATGAGATCAAGGGAAGGGAGATTCATCACTCATTTCCAATGACTCTTTTTCAGGTGAAGTTCTATTCTGATTTTCGGTCTTTTATCAAACTGATGTTTTAGTATTAGAGATGTGCGCATTCATTGGTTCTTTCTATTTGATTCCATATTGATTTGATGATGCTTGTAAATAGCATAATAAGCATCATGGCATTAGGAACATTAAGTTATCATTGACAGGAGTGGAACCAAATTTCTGTTACTATGCTTCCATACAAGGTTGTCTTTCCATTGCACTGTCCATATGTGTTGGTTGACATTTGGACCATTAGCAGTCAACTCTCCAACCTTCTGCCGCGGAAAGCAGAGAATACCATCACCATTATTCTATCCTTTTTAGGGAGCCGTCCTTTAGTGTGTATTGTGACCTAGAAGGTAGTGGATGCTGTGCACTCGTTTGTAAGATGCATCTTTTTTTGAGATCACTACAAATTGTATCAATGAACTGGTTCTGTTGTTCAGTCCATTTGAATTATTGGAGAGTTCTGTAGACTGATTACCTGGCATGTCATGTTGGATTACAGGAATTGCACTCCATTCGTTGCTGTCCCTTGTATCTTTTCTTATTTGCTTAAACAACTTTTGCTAGTGATATACTGGTAACTAGGAATAAAAAATGTTTATCAACCGGAGTGTAAGTGGTATGTTTGAGTGTAATGTTTATCAACCGGAGTTTAAGTGGTATGTTTGAGTGTTCTCTGACCTTATCTATCAACTGCAGCCACACACTGTTCGTTTGAACCACCACACATTAAAGCTCCTGAAGTATTGGACATGGCAGTTTGTTGTGATTCGCCCTACTTGCTCCATCTTGATGATATCTCTTCAACTTCTTGGGTTGTATTCCAGTTGGGTGAGCTGGACATTCACAATCATTCTGAATATTTCAGTATCACTGGCTTTGTATTCGCTGGTGGTTTTCTATCATGTGTTTGCTAAAGAGTTGGCTCCACACAAACCTCTTGCCAAGTTCTTGTGCATCAAAGGAATCGTCTTTTTCTGCTTCTGGCAGGTATGCTCTCACCACCCGCCCTTCTCAAGCTCAATTTACATAACACGTAGAATTTTTTGTTGCAGTTGATGGTTCCTTGCCATGTCTAATAGATCACACTTGCATCAAACAATGAGGCCTTTGTATATTTTTATGACAGAAGCATGCTTTGGATGAAGTAGAACAATTTTTAATGCACATATTAGCAAATGTTTTGGAATTCTGACATTATGAGCTTGGGAAATCAGAATAATCTCTAGAAAGTAACTTTTTCGAAAAGGGACATGATTGAAACCATCGTGCAGCAGCCAGACTATCTAGGCAGTCCTTGAGAATCAAAGACTGAGAATTTTTTTTTTATTGTCTTTGCAGGGAGTTGTACTTGATATTCTTGTAGCGTTGGGCATAATCCGATCTCATCATTTCTGGCTTGATGTAGAGCACATTGAAGAAGCTTTGCAAAATGCATTGGTGTGCGTAGAAATGGTCTTCTTTTCAGCTTTTCAGAAATATGCGTATAGTGCTACGCCATATAGAGATGATATTGCCGCAATAAATGTGAAATTGGATAGGAAGAAAGACTAGCATAGAAGCCAACACCAATCTGGTGAGAATTTTAATGCTTTCTTAAAGATTGATGCCAATATTAATTGCTTCCTGTAATGGTTGCGTGAAAGACACTGCCTGTACTTCGCCCATTGTGAACCTGTATCTGCATTCTGTATGTAGAATCAGCAAAATGTTTTGCTTCACATGCATCAACATGTGTAAAACAAGTTGAAGAGATCAAAGGAAAAACAATGGGGCGGCAGTGCCATTTGCTCCATGTGTCCACTTTTGAGAACAAATAGCCTATTCTTCCATGGACAGCAGGTAATGGTCCCAGTCTTTCTTACAATGCTACTCCACTGTCATCGATTCCTTAGCAGCCTTCTTGAGAGACATGAGAGGAGTGGTTAAAACTCACTTTTTATTAGCTGAATGGAGCTTCTTCCACTGATAAAAGAACAGGAAGCCCAAGTCATGGCATAAGACTTTGATGTTCCTCCAGTTACTAAGCGACCTTAAATGATCTGTCCGGCTGAACTGAAAAACATGTGCAGTTCTTGTGCTTTTAAGATTCTTACAGCAAGATGGATCTATTTAGCATGTTAAGTTCACAAACACATGGAATAGAAATCGATGCAGAGCTATTAAGAATCAGCTGGTTTTCTTAATGAATAGTTTATATATATATATATATATATGGTCTTACTCGTGTTTTTATTGAGTAAATTATAATTTAATTCTTATGATTTTGATGATTTTATAAGTTGGTTTTTTGGGTTTTGAAAAGCATAAATTAGTTCCTCGACCAAAGCTAATTTTTAAATTTTTAAAGAAAATTTCTAAATTACCTTTTTTAAATGTATTTTTAATGTTGTATGTAGGAGGTGAGATTGGAAAATTTTGATTACAAATGAAGGATATTTTAGACAAAAACCAATTTAATTATTTTCAAAAAACAATTAAAGAGATTACAAATGAAGGATATTTTAGACAAAAGCCAATTTAATTATTTTCAAATTTTTTTTTTCAATCCAGAAATAATGACCCCTAGACAAATTTGTCCCCCCAAAACTAAAAATAATTACCCAAAAAATGGGTTCGGAGGAATAATTCTTTTTTTTTTTGGTAGGATATGGGGGAGAAACATTATCTTCTTTGACTTATTTTCCCAGAGTAAATATTAATATAATAATACATATTTAGAAATTATAATTTGGTGTATTCATTTATAGTTTTAACAAATCTTTATTAATCTCTGTGTCATGAATCTCACCATTTATTATAAATCATATTAGAGAGACCATAGGGTAACCGTTCAATGAAATTTTAAAATCCATCATATCCAATTTCATATTAGAGGAGGTAGATTTGACCACAAAATCAAATTAAAGGAAAGGACCACAAGTGTTATTTATCTAAAAATTAATGGATTTAAAGATTATATTATTTGAATATATTATATAGAAAAAAATATTTGTTTGCAAATTGCACCACATGGTACATCTATAAAAGGCACATCTCATAAAAAGCATATAATATTTTTTTTATGAGGTATACGGAAAAAATTCTTTGCTGAATTACATTTATAAAAAGAGTGCTTATTAAACTTTAATATTAAAAATTAAAATTTAATAAAACTGAAAACATTGCACACGCAATGCTATAATCACCTTTAATATTTTAACAGTAGTTATTATTTAAAGTATTTTTATATAAAAATATATGAAAATAATATTTTTTTTAAATTAACATTTTAAAATTACCTAAAAACATTAAAAAAATTAAACTTTTATTTAAAAAAAACACTTTTCAACCGAAAAAAATAACAAGTTAAAAAGCCGGAGGACACAAGCATGCATACAAGTCCAATTACCAAACTCAATTTTTTCAAAGATCAGTACACTTGCCAATCTACCAAAAGCTGCCCAAAACAAGTGCACATATTACACTTGCCAATCTACCAAAAGCTGCCCACATAACTCTCTTCTGCATCCTGCTGGGATAGGAAGGGAGGGAACTGTCCAACCAGGTCGTTTTCAAGTACAAGTGGCACTCCCTCATGGGCTGGTGAAGACTAATAATCCACATTTAACTCACAGGAAAAGAAAGCAGACACTCTTTAAAACCATCCGTGAGAGAGCACAAATCCATTTTGATTTCGTTAACCATGAAATCTTCCACGCGCTATCCACTACCAGTGTTATAGCTTGTGTTCAAAACTTACTCTTCTTGGCCATGACAACACTACTTCAATTCTCTATCTATTTTTCTCCTTTAAAGAAATACCAAAAACCCTTTACTTATCACTCTCTACCAAGTTCAAAGTTGGATTTTTTGAAGAAAGATAGCTTCAAATCAAGGTCCTACAAGGAAAAATGGAGTTTGTTGGGAGGTGGAAAAGATGGGATTTGGATAAAAGAGGAGGGGTTAAAAAGGACGAGAAGGGTGGTTTTGGTGAGGTTTAATCAAGGGTTTGGTGGTGGTGGTGGTGGGGGAGATAATAGTGGTACTGCTAGGCTTCTGGGAAATATTGCTTTGGCTGTTGGATTGACTTATCTTTCAATGACTGGACAACTTGGTTGGGTTTTTGATACTGTTGGTTGGATCTTGGACACGCTAATATCTATCTGGGTGTGTTTGTCTTTCCCAGTTTTTTGTTTATTTTTCTGTTGGATGATTGTCTCTTTGAATTTGAATAAGTTTATTGTATGCTTTATTGGACATTTATAGAGGAGCTTGTGGTGAGTTGTGTGGTTTCACTTTCAAATTGATGCCTATCTACCTTCTGGAAATTTGGAGCTTTGGTTTTGTTTCTTAATATCTACTATCTGTTAATTGTTTACTGAATATTGCAATATAGGGGTATTTAATTCACCATATTATTCTGTTCATAAATTTTATTCGGATTTGTACAGTATTATGATTTTCTAGTTAGTAGTTGAGCTTCCTGTTGTTCCTTTTGGCATTTCTGAAGCACCGGTTTTTATATTTTGAGATGCATAATCTAATATGATAAGTTCATTGTACTCTCTGGAGTATACAGAAGCTTGTCTGATATGATCCGTGTTCTTCATACTCCAATTTAAACATGATTTGAGATGCATAATCTAATATGATAAGTTAATTGTACTCTCTGGAGTATACAGAAGCTTCTCTGATATGATCTGTGTTCTTCATACTTTAATTTAAACATGATTTTTTTTTTTTTGTCCAAGTTGTCTTCATGTGGAAAAGTTGATTTTACTTCAATGTTCTTGTATTGGTTATAATTGTTTATAGTAGTTTTGATACCATCTGGTTCTAAATATTCTGGTTAGAACTGTCTTAAATGTAGTTACACATATACTTGAATGTCCCATGAGTTTCTTCCCCCTAATGAGCAGTGTTTTGTTATATTGAAACTAATAGTAGCTTTTCCATGTTATGTTGCATAACTTTTGTGTTTGGGCTATTACCTCATAGCATTATATTCGAATTAGATCAGTTTGTGCTATGAGATCTAACTGATTGATGACTTCTATGCGCAGCTCCTTGCAGTATTTATTCCCATTGTAGGCTTGGGAGTCTTTCTCTGGTGGGCAGGACGTGACATACTTCAAGGCACTGTGAGGCTCTACTCCTAATTCCCAGCTTCCTAGGCACTATCCTTTCTTTCATTTATTATCTTTTTAGAAATATGCTATATAGTTCTTCTATAAGCCTTCCCTCCATAAAAGATGGAGACACATGCATGTGTTTGGATTTTTTCCTTCTTTAACTGATTTATTTTATTTTATTTTTGGATTTTTTTGGGGCGTATGCAGTGCCCAAATTGTGGAAATGAATTTCAGATTTTCAAGTAAGTGATACAGTGATTTTAATCAAGCTTATAGGCAAATTTTTTAGATGGTGTGCACAGTTGTTTGACTTGGATCATAATGTTATCCTTCTCAGATCTACTTTGAATGATGAATTGCAGCTGTGCCCTTTTTGCAGTCAACCATTCTCAGGTAAAAGCCAAGCCTTGGATAGATCCTTCACTAGAGTTCAAAAATTTATCTTGTCACATTCCTAGAACAGTGGACTGTTGGCGCTGAACTTGTTGTGCAATGGTTAAAATAAGGTGATAGATTACTATAAGCTATGCTGCATTTTTCATGGAACTGCAGCATAAATTAGTGGGATTGATTTCATAAAGAAAACAATTGAAGATATTATTTTGTTCTTGAAGTTTAAGTTTTTGCGCGCACCTCCACGCAAATCACTCTTGCATTTTCACCATTTTGTGGAGTTTCACAGGTCTTGATTAGAAATGCAGCATTTGATGTTCAGGATTTCCATGTGATCCCTTTTCAATTCCTTCTTTTTAAGAATTGAATCTTATATTTGCAAAACATGGAATGTGCAATCAATGATGAAATGGAAGGATGATAATTGAAGTTTTAACATATGACCTCAACATTGAGCTTATCAAAGATTAAATCTAATTGTAAAGGCTTCTTTTGATTCTGGGTGTTTTGATTTTCACGGTTTTTATGTAGAAATGTGACCCATTATTGTTTTATGAACTAATTTTCTACATCCTGACAAGTTTGATGTCTAGTTGATTGATCTACAGATATGTTAGCATGTATCTGTCTTGATTGTGTTCATTTCTTTATGATATTTTCCATACATTCCAGTGGTGGGTGATGAGTTTGTGAGTGATTCTGTGAGGTTCTCCAAAAAATCTACACCATTTGGACAAGCATTCAGTGACTTCTCTTCTGGTTTCAAGAAAGGTTTGCCATCCAATCCCTACTGCTTTCTTTCATTCATGGCCTTGATGTAAATTAAATTCATTGTGCATTAGTTTGCATGAGATGACTATGAATAACAGTGAACAACTTTGAGCTCATATAATAATCTACACTAAGAACAAATTGTTAACGCAACTTAAATCCATTTTAGAAATCAAGTGGAAATTCAACTCTTAAAAGTCACCAATTATTGCTGGTGTAGAATGATTTGTGAATTCTGAAACTGCCTGTGTGTTTGTTCAGGAAAAGAATCTTCTTCAGCTGTTGTAGATGTTGAAGCAGAAGTAAAAGATGTAGACTGAGGGACCATATCCATAATATCCTGGTTTGTCATACAGATCCTTCAACTTGAATAATCTGTTATATTTGAGTGATGTAACTAGAGACTTGGTCAGAACAGCCCTTGCAGATACTCTGTTACAATCCTTCTGATGTTCTTTTGGACTGGCTCTGCTTAAGAATGTTGGAGCTTGTTCCTTGTTTTTTCATTCTTGAATGAAATCTATATTCTCATATAAGAAAAAAACAAAAAAAAGCTCATAAACATTAGCACTCCTTCAATCTTATTTTCTTACATATGCAATGCTGTTGACTTCTCAGTTTTGGAATGCAAAGCACCTAGCCAACCCTTTTATTATTATTATTATTATTCTTTTATCGTCAGATGTCTTGTTCAATAAAGATGGGTTTATATTTTTGTAGTTCAATTAGGTATCCAGGACCTTTATGTCTGAGTTTTTTGTGTAATATAACACATGATCAGGTTTTATTTGCTCAGATTAACAACCTGGTAAACTTGTCCACAATGGAGTTCCAAACAATTGCATACTCTTGCTTTCTGTTCTTAAAAACCTTTAAGTTTTAGTTTTTTAAGCTAGTTTCATTTTCTGTTTCTACAGGTTCATCCTACTGTTTTCCGAGTTAAAGAGCAGCTTAGAGCATATATTGTCATTCTGAACTGAGTTAAAGAGCAGCTCAGAGTAGTATATATTGTCATTCTGAACTGGGTCACCCTGCCCACACAACATTCATCATACGGAAACGGAATAGCAAGTCTTTCCTGGTTGTATTCTAAGTTTTGACAACAAAGTAATTTGTATGATAGCCTTTTCTATATTTTCTATTGAGGTCCTTTGCTCATCACCTTTCTCTCTAGTCTTGCATTTTAGGAGCCTTGGGGTTGAGATTGAGTAAGTTACATACTTTCACAACAAACAATAATTACGGCAGCTTCTGAATCGCAGTAGTCAAATTTAAAAAAACTTGAATCCTTTTGCTCTTATTTTCTGCTCTTCCAATTTTGATCTCGAGCTTGAAAATCTTTTTTGAGTAAATGGTTGCCGAAGTTCATCGCTGACCACTGGGTTAATTCAAAGTGCAGCCAGATAATAGGATATTGCACGCATGAGAGGGTTCCTACGTTGCCTGAGGGCTTGTTATGTATGAAATTGTTCCGGGGCTGTCAAAATTGTCTTGATGGAAGCAAAAAGAAAAAAAAAAACATAGAGCATCCTGTCAAAATTGTCTTGATGGAAGCAAAAAAAAAAAAAGAAAACATAGAGCATCTTATGTATTACTTCAAGTTAGATGTCTATGTTCTTGATGATGAAGTGCAAGATAAGATATATCAGAATTGGCACCACCAAGTAGATCACATTTCACCATGACAAATTTGAAGGATTATTTGACAAGCTAGGGGTAAGCAACAGCAACAGAAGACTCTGGGCTGATGAACCAGTCTTTAGAGTAAGCATGTTTAGTAACTTGGATCTCCATGCAGTATCATATAGAAGTTTTATCAAGATATCTACCGGAAAATGGCTCCCTGTTTATTTGATCATGGGAACTGTCTGATACAGCAAACGACAAAAAACCAACATCCTTATTTCCTTTCGGAATCATTTGCTAAATTGGTCGAAAACTGCAAGTGTCTCACAACATAAAAATGAACATCCTCATCATGGGTTTTCTTCTAGGAGATGTAGCGAAGCCCTATTCTAATTCTAGTGCGCTGCTCCGCCAACCTCCTGCAAAGCAAAACAACACACGCAGTTGAGTAAGTACTTCAAAGGATATCATACCACATTGAGCTTTCAGAGCAAATTTTCCCTACGATTCTTAGATATTAAACGGCTTTAATCTGTGAAGATCTCTCTGTGAATATGAGCAAAATATTGAGAGGATTCTCATACTCGTTGAGCTTAAGGTTCTTATACCCGAATATCTGCTTACCGTATGCTGTATGAAACTATTGTGCTCAGCCACGGTCAATATTAACCAGGTAATGATCCTGTAGATATGTTTAAAAGGTATTTTGATTCAATGTTGTTTATTGCTTACACCGTGAACAATTTTTTTCTTTTTTTTCTTTTTTTTCTTTTTTCAAAATTTAAACTTGATCCTGTATCTCCTTGTTTTGTCGTTATAAAATAAAAAAGAATTAAATTACAATTTTATTATTATTATATTAAGATTTTCTATACAACAGCAATAACTTGATTTGACGGTCACACACCAAGCACAATGTCGACATACACTTGCATTTACATCTTTTTCTATATTCTATATAATGCAATGCGTCTCTTCACTATGTTTATAAATTATTGTTGACAAAGTATATCTCTCTAACAAGAATTATTTACAATTCAGAGCATATTAAAAAAACACGGGTAAGTGATCAATTAATTATATCCTATTGTTCATTGATGTTTTCCATGAATGTTTGGTTTTTTTTTATGGTATTTTAATCGAAAAATTAGTGTTTGATATTATTTATTTGTGATAATAGACATGGAAGATGCACAATTTAATGCATGCTATATATTAAGTGAAGATCTTGAAGATGATTACAAAAATATAATTCAGTATTTGTTGTGTATCATTATTGTGAAGTGTTGTCTGAAGGAAGAGATTGATGACATGTCAGAAAGGCCTTGCATCTAAGAGGTCTGTGTATGTATATAGCCGAGCAGTGTAATCTGCAGGAACTGCTTAGTAAATTACAGTTGAAGTAGGAAGGGATGCTTGATATAAAGTCTATATTGGAAGCTGACATTGAAGCTCGTCAAAACCCTAGGTAAGGATTACAATTCAATCTTCATCTTGATTGTCTTTTTACTTATTTTCTCTTTGTAATAATATTCTGAAACTGTACTGTATTTATAGTTTCTCTTCTTAACATAGAACTAATTCTTCTACTAGAGGATATAATTAATGGCATCATTATTCACCATTGATTTTGTTGTTTTCAATCTGGGATTTGCACTAGGTATATATGCAAACATGTATCGGGGCTATTTGGGAAGGTGAAACCAATAAGGAAGCAAGGGGTCTTTGAGAAGACATGTGCCTCAGATCAGCTATGCTCTGACTTATAGTTATGGAAGATGAGTACCAGTAGGATCTTACAGACTACTCGATCTAAGGAGTGCTAAAAAAAGGGAAATATGAGAAATTGATGAGGCTATTGCATAAAGATCGATGTTCCAGATATAAAAAGATAACATGGATAATGAAGCCAAAGAGGATGGGTTTGATGAAAGCAATAGCGCGGATTCTAATGTTGGTGGTTCAACTGTGCTAGTTATTGAGGATTCCGACCATTAATGTTCTAATAGTTATTTATTGAAGGCTAAATACACTTGTTTCATGAAAAAAATCATTTAATTATATAAAAAAATAACAACATTTATAATAATAGAAAATGAGGAATTATTCACTCTTTATAATTCTTAACCTCATTCTTTTTTTTTATAGTGTTGCAATGATAGTCACTACTTATTACCCATGGTAGCTCATTCTCTCTTATATTTTTTATATTTTTGGTTCTACATACACTTTTATATTGTGTTGCTTTTGTTATATTTATTTATAAACAAGAATGATTAAGATTATTCACTCTTTATAATTCTTAACCTCACTCTTTTTTTTTACAGTGTTGCAATGATAGTCATTACTTATTACCCGTGGTAGCTCATTCTTTCTTATATTTCTTATATTTTTGGTTCTATATATATTTTTATATTGTGTTGCTTTTTTTATATTTATTTATAAATAAGAATGATTAAACAACTTAGTTATAAATTATAACACTAATGATAACAACATATGAATTATATTATTTTATTAATAGTTTATACAATTTATTTGATAATTATCTACCTATCATCGTAACTTTTTAACAATAACAATCCTCTTTTAAAATAGGTTGCAAATGCTGTTATTTATTATTGGCAACGTCCCAACACTAGTTCTTAACAAAAGGTTATCCATGTCATATGCTAAGAATCTATGCAGAGAAACTCAAAAAATAGTTTAATTAATCAAACTTTAAATTTATTTTTTAATAATTATGAGTTTAAGTTTTTTTAAAGTAAATAAAGATTTGTATAATTATTAATTTTAAAATCTATAAAATTAATTAAAATAGATATAAACTGATACAAACACTCCACTTAATTAAAAATAAAAATTTCCACACAGAAAGCATGGAATTCTGCACAAGGTAGTTTGGCATGGCTGCCATCGTTAAACAACTCAATCAATTCCCGTTTGCGGTGTCATTTTCTTCTTTCTCAAGCTGTCCATTATTATTTGTCAACTCTTTATTTATTTGTCAACACAATCGTGTGATAAATTATAACTTAATATAAAATTCGATTAGTTGAAGTTGTCAATAAAACAAATAATAAATAGTAGAGGAGTTTTATGTTCTCTAGATAGTGATGGTGGTATTTTATTAGTTATTTTATGAGTTATTTTTAAAAAATAGATATCATTAAAAGAGAAGAATCCAAATAGAAATGTTTTTGTAATTTTTTTTATGTCTATAGACTTTATTTTATTTGTATTTATGTTTATTTGTTTTTTTTAAGATAGGCCTCGTAAAAAACTAATAAGAGTACCATAAATTTTTTTTGAAACAGTGATATGATAATGCTGTACTAAAATTCAGTTGTTTGTAATGATATGTTTTTTAAACAATTGGAATGGTCTGATCATTCAATGGATTAGTTTTACAAGGAATAATTCAGTATATCCAGTGCTGTCCTCTGTTCTCTCATAAAAATTATTATATTGATGAATTATTTTCACGATAAAACGCATGTTCTTCTCGAAAGGACAATGTGCAACTTTTAAAATATCTAATAATTTCTTTTAATTCAAAAAATGAAGCAAAAAAAAGAGGATATGGAGGACATAGGGATTCTGTAAAAGATGTAAACAGGATTTATTATTATTATTATTATTATTTCGTTCTTGATATCAACAAGAGAAATGATACAGCCAGCGCAACTCATGGAATGCTTGTGTTTCTTCTATTCTAGTCTCTCCTGCATCATGATCAAGTTCAAGCCTCTCTGCTGAGATACTTCTCTCCATCGGCTGCATGGTTTCTGTAATCTCATGTTCCCTGTCACAACCTGTCTCCTCAGGAAATAAACCTCTATGCTCCCCGGCTTCTTCCTCCATGCCCTGAACCTCCATTGGCACTCTTTCGAGATCTCCTTCCAGAATTTCAACTTCACTGTTTTGCCCTTGCAAAGAATTCAAAGCTGTGTTATTTGCCTCATCGTAGCGTGAACTTTGCATGGCTTTGAGTTTTTTATTTGCTCCATAAGTAGCTAGATAGGTTGCTTCCTGAACATCTGCAGGGACTTTTTCACAAATATCAACCCCACATCCTTTAACTCCAGACAAATGAGAGATGATCCTTGAAATCGAAGAATCAACCGCAAACACGTACCCACAGAATTTACACTTGAAAGAACCATCATTCATCTGCTCAACACAAATCCAAAATTGATCACTCGGTTTAACCATCTCTCCCTTTTCTTTTGCAACCCTGAAGACACAAACACTTGACTGGTGAAGGAAAGCTATATCTAAAACAGGAATCACGAACACTATATTCGTTTGTTTAGAGATAACAAGAGAAAGATTGAACTGTAAGAAGGAAAAGGTATTCAGTTTTCAAATATACGGAAGAAGATAACTGAACAATTGAAAACCGAAACCCAAACTTGAGTTTGCAGGATCAGTTTCGTAGTTGCTGAGAAACAAATTTGCAGAATATGGTGAGCTAAAGAGCGTGTGAATTCACTAAATAATCAAGATACGAGAGAATAGGTTCATAGTATTTTTTTTTTCCAAGGGAAATCATGGCTTCAAATTATATAGGAGTCCACAACAAGCGATTAGATGGATACTACTAGCAGGCCTCTGGACCATTTTCTGATCAAAACCTCGAACTCTTTTACCAAGTTCAAAGGGAATTTACCAGTGAGTAATAAATAAATAAATATCAACGTTACAGCTATAAAAACATCATGCAATAATCAAATGAGAGTGCAGCAAACAATAATTTACCTGGCCCTATGCGATTTTCTCCAAAAGATTTCAAGAGGATTTGATTTAATCTGAAGAAAGGGAAGGAAAGGAGGGAAGGTTTATAGAAGGGAAAGAGAGAGAGGAAGCAGCGATAATATAGAGAAGGCATTGAAATTGAAAGGAAATTTAAGAAGTCGAGTCCACGTTCCATACCGAGACAAAAATTTAATATTTAAATCCAAGTGTTTAGGACTGTCTGTTCCTATTCAGAGAAGTGGAGGACACAGGTGCTGCTATCTGTTAATTATTCAACACATTATTATTATTATCAAATTAAAAAAAAAAAAAGGGTATGCACCAAGATACATTTTACCATATACGGGTAAAAAGATTTTTTTTTTTTTTATTCTCAAACATTACAATTTTCATGGGTCTATTTGTAATTAATATATTGAACGGCGACATATAGATATTTTTTATATTTGAAATATATAGTGAAATGATTTAAATGTTTTTAAAAACAAAAAAAAATTAAAACTAGGATTTAAAGGCTTTTTCATCTTTCAATGGTTTAGAAGTATAGTAAAATAATTACATTGCTCTTCAAAAAAAAATATTAAATCTAACATTCATAAACTTTTTTATATTTTTATTATGATTTTTTAGTTATAATCAATATGAATAAAAAGCAATTTAAACCTTCAATAAATATAAATTAATTAGCAATTGAAGGGAGATTGCACTATTTGAGCAACATATATAGCGTCTTCCCGTGATGAAACACCATCTTTTATGAAACAACTTATTGTTTTCTTTTTAATGATCAAACATGTGTTCAAGGCAAGGCAACAGTTAGAATTCACTGAACTTTATTTTCTTTTCCTTGCTTTTTTTTCTTTCTTCACTTTGAATTTCATGCTAGTCCTTAAAAAATCAAATTTATTTTTTAGTTTGTATTTATATCAATTTTGATTTATATTCTTTTAATTACTATTTATTTTGTTTCTAATGCTTTTTGAATTTTTTTTTCATTTTCATCCCTAAGCATTTTATTTCTTTTAATGTTCTTCAATTTTGATCATTATTTTTTTTATTGCTATTGTTTTTTTGTTTTTTTATCATTTTTTTAATTTATTTTAATTTTCAATTGAGTTCCTTATTATTATTTTTATTTAGTTTTTATACCAGATTTGATCTTCATCATTTTAATTGCTATTTATTTTTAAATTTTTTATGATTATGAACTTTGTTTTGTGATTTTTTTCATGTTTATTATCTATAGGGTAATCTTGATTTCATTACCTAAGTTATTGAGTTTGAAGTTTACGTTTATTTAACTTTAATTTTATTTTTAGTTCCTCTTTTAAATTGATATTTTTTTCGATTTTATTCTTCGAGGTTAGATTATTGGATCTTAAGCTTGGTAATTTTTTTTGCTTTCCTTTTTGTAAAGTTATCTTGATCTCATATCTTATGTTGTAGATTAGTTGAGTTAACCCAAGATGACTCGATGTGTTTATTTAACTATTTTTTTATTGATTTTTTTTCAATTTCATCCTTTCATGTTATTAGGTCTTGAGCTTTGTGTATTTCTTTCTATCTTTTTTGTAAGGTTATCTCAACCTCACATCCTAGGTTATGGGATAGTCAAGTTAACTCGAGTTTTTTTTTCAATGTTTTTCTAATTGAATTATTATTTTTTTTAATTTTATCTTTTATCATTTAGTTTGCTTGAGAGTTGACTTTCATTATTTTATTCAATTTCTTTTGTGTAATGTTACCTCAGTCACATGACCAAATTACAAATTTGACATGCTAACTTGAGTCAAGTTTTTTTTTTATCTTTTTTTAAAATTAATTTTTTTTTAATTGATCCTTCAATGTTTGATTTATTGATAATTAGGTTTTGGATTTTTTTTATTTTCTTATTTGTGAGGTTATCACATTCTTGTTTATTTTTTGTTTTTTATCAAATAAGATCATTGAAACCTTTTCATAACATTTCAAGGATATCTTTTTATAATATTAGCAAGTATTTATTTATTTTTGATTGGTCAATAGATTTTTTTAATTATGTTATTAAATTAATCAAAATTTTTGAATTCATTTGAAACAATGACTCCGGTTCTAGATTTTTTTACTCTTTAAAAAATGCTATTAATGTTTAGACATTTATTTTTTTACTTTAGAAAAAAATTAAATCAATTCACGTTATAGCATAAATCACCCATCTAATTTTAACAAACTAATATCTTATGTATACACAGATTCCGCTTATTCATATTGGTTTTGTTGTTAGTCAGGTACAATTTTTTAAAGGTACTTTAAGTAAATTTTATCATAT